TACAATTGTATTTTGCTCTGCAGGGGGAATCTTGTTTACAGTAAATATATAATGTAATTGAATCTAGTTTTGTATAAACTAATGTTTGAATCGTGTATAAATACCGGCACGAACTGAAGATTTAGAATGTACTTAAATCCACCTTATGTCACTTTATTTACCATATACTAACCGCTGATCATCATTGTAAATAATTAAAACCTATTAATTGTCTAAAAAGTGTTTTTTAACACAGAGCAATGATACACTAGGATGGGAGTAGAACAAAATTTGGAGCCGAGATACTGCAGGATTTAGGTTGTAGACATAAGAGATACTCCAGGATTCAGATTGGAGAATTAAGACATACTTCAGGATACAGGCTGGAGAATTAAGAGATACTCCAGGATTCAGGTTGGAGAATTAAGAGATACTTCAGGATTCAGATTGGAGAATTAGAAGATACTTCAGGATACAGGTTGGAGAATTAAGAGATACTCCAGGATTCAGGTTGGAGAATTAAGAGATACTCCAGGATTCAGTTTGTAGAATTAAGACATACTTCAGGATTCAGTTTGGAGAATTAAGACATACTTCAGGATACAGGCTGGAGAATTAAGAGATACTCCAGGATTCAGGTTGGAGAATTAAGAGATACTTCAGGATTCAGGTTGGAGAATTAGAAGATACTTCAGGATACAGGTTGGAGAATTAAGAGATACTCCAGGATTTAGGTTGGAGAACTAAGAGATACCCTAGGTGTCAGGTTGGAAAATTAAGATTTAGATCTGCGGAGACAAAGAATGAAGAAAAAATTTCATGAGGATTATGGTTAAACTAGGGAAAGAGGAAAGCAAAGTCATTACAGGAGATTTGAAAAAGTGTATAATAAGATTGGAAAGTTACGATCCTGATGAGAGCAGAGGAAATCTTTCTCGTAGATCAAATCTAGGAGCAAAATGAATCAATATAAATCCGGGTTGGATAAGATCAAAGAAAAGATTAGGTATAGATTAGTAGTACAGATTTAAATATAAGGACAGAAAATTATGGTGATGCAGAATTAGGTCGAAGCAAAAACCGGATGGTGTGGATATCAAAGTAGTTCCATGATTAAATTTGTTCATTAACAGCCTTGAATTTTAAATCACCTTCCGTGCTTTGTTTCTAATTCAAACAGTGGAGTCTCTTTTGAAATCGTAAAACACATTTTTGAAAAAGTATGTTTTCCTATTCGAAAGTAAGGTTTCGTACAACTATTTCTCGGTTTCTCTAAGCATTTAATAAGATAAATAATTTACAATGCATAATGTCTTTATTGATTTGGCACATAGTATTTTATTAATATCATTATATAGAGAATAACTAGACTGAGTGGATAAACTGGATGAAGTTAATGGTTTGAATCCTTAGTTTCTCAGGGTAGAGATTCCAATCATAGGGTCCTCTGATCTAGAATGAAGCTGAGAACTGCAGCCTGCATCCGTGTGCTTGTTGAGTAAACTCATCCGACTGAAGGATTTCTGACAACCTGGACAAGAATACTTCTTGTTCTCCAGGTGGGTTTGGAGATGTGCTCTCAGGTTGGATTTATCAGCAAACTGTCTGGAGCAATGAGTACAGGAGAATGGTTTCTCTCCGGTGTGAGTTCTCATGTGTCCTTGTAGAAGCCAAGGTCTGGAGAAGGATTTTCCGCACTCTTCACATTTACAAGGAAGGGTGTGTGTTCTGATATGCATCTTAAGAGCAGATTGAGAATTATAATTCTTCTGACAAAATTTACATGAGAAATCTTTTTGTATCTGGTTTGAAGAATGCAGCTGTTGATGTTTGGAGAACCCAGATTGGGTGGAAAAACTCTTCTTACATTCATGACAATTATAGGTTTCGATGTTTTCATCGGAAGCACGGAGAGGATCAGTATTGGAGCTAAATATGGAGTTTTGATAAATCTGATGAGAAGGAACTGGAGAAGGAAGGAAGAATGTCTCCTGGAGAGGAGCTGAGTACCTCGGAGTGGTTTGCTGAGAATAAACCGGAGTATCACAGAAAAGGTTTGATTGTAAGGAGTATACTGGGCTCCAGGCACCGGGTAGAGAAGGAGAAGGAAGAGAATAGCTTGGAACCTCCATTTTTTCATGCTTAAAGTTTGAGTTTTGGAAACTTGGTTTCAAAATATTTTTTTCCGGAGAGTTCCAAGGTTGGACAATTCTTGGTTTGGATATTGGTCGGGTCGGAGCAACTGGAATAGGAAGAGTTCTCACCCTGCTCAAGGAGAGCAAGGAGTCTACTGGTCTCGAGGATAAAGGAGAAGAAACTCCGTTTTCCTGGTCGGAGTTATCAAGAAAGTTTCTGGTTAAAGATTTCTTCCAATGTTTAGCGGTTCGGGAAATCTTAGGTTCACGTCTATTCACGTCTCTGACAACCAAGGATAAAGGTTTTCTCTCAACCATGGAGTCATTAAAATCTCCAACCGGAGATGAGAGAGAAGCAACACTACCCGGAGATATTGTCGAAACCTCGGAGTCAATCCCACTGTCATTTCCATCCTCGCTCATCTCAAACTCCGAAGCAAGATGTTCAAACTTGAATGTAGATTTCTTATCTCCGAACAATATTCTATCCTTTTCCTGGTGCTTTTCTCCGAATGGAAATGGAAGACCGTTTCCAAAAAGTTTTTCAGTACTTATTAATCGTATATTTCCCTCCATCATTAACGTCCGAATAGTCGGAGTATCTAAGAAGAACTGATGACCTAACGCAAAACGGAGAGGATCAGTAGTTAAGTCGGACCTGTCCGGAGAAGAACCCGACCTACCCGGAGTTGGAGCTCATCTTCCCGGTAAGTTCTCTCCGTCCCAACCCTGCTCATCATCTATTCAACACCCAGGAGTCAGGGATGAGAAGAAAGTGTGATTTCACGCACAGCATAAAGTAATAAATACTCAGGGAACCCTAAACTGTACAGTTACAATGGAACATATAAAGCTAATGTAACAAACATCATAAACTCACTTTCTTTTAACACTTGTTAAACCACATGATATACTCAACATCAATGGCGGCTTCATTGTAAACAAATTAAACTACTTGTCAATTAATGATTCAATTGGAATCTACTGCTGGTCAAAACGTGTAAATATTGCACGGTTTAACTTTAAGGGTTGAGTTTTAATGATCTTAGATGAGATTACTCCATGTTGTGTATACGGGTAGATACAGGAGATACAATGCGGGTTCGTTCTTTACATTTCTTCGTCTTGCCTTTACATCGATGATAAAACAGATATTGTTTCAAAATACTTCTAAATTGTTAAAAAACATATATTTAAAAACTCAGAATTGTTAAAGAAAAATATCATGAATACTGAATTCTCCGAAAAAAACTATTAACTTGTCCTTTTCAGAAATAAGATTGAAAATTAAGAAAAAATATTCTACGAGGTGTGATCTATAAGTTTCGGTAACATTTTCTTTAGGGGTACTTTTACAAGTCTCAGCTCTAAAATATTTTCTTATTTTTCTTAATTTACTTTATTTGTACCGGATACATTTTTAGCCCGGTTGGCGTCAAACAGATTGTTGTTATTGTGATGTAAGAAGTGTTCTCCTGAAGCAGATTGCTGTTGTGATGTAAGAAGTGTTCCCCTGAAGCAGATTGCTGTTGTGATGTAAGAAGTGTTCTCCTGAAGCAGATTGCTGTTGTCATTAAAGGAGTGTTCTCCTGAAGCAGATTTCTGTTGTGATGTAAGGAGTGTTTTCCTGAAGCAGATTGCTGTTGTGATGTAAGAAGTGTTCTCATGAAGGTGGACTAGCTTCGTTGTCACAGCATAGGAATTTCTAGAAAAGGAACCAGAGAACGAGGACACTTTGGAGGCTCAGTTACCGAAAACTGTTTTTATTAGATGATGCACCCTTAATATTTGAAGGAATATGACATATTCGGGTGGGAAAAGACCATCAAGACCCAAAAAAAGTTGAAAATATTGCAAATTGTTTAAACCATAATAGCAAGGGTTCAAACATTGTCAATTAGCCTGATCTATATGTTTTTACATCGTAAACAAAGTTGTAAAGCAAGATTTTAAAATTACAAAGATCTGGGTTGAATTTGTTCCAAAGTCTCATGAAACCAAAGATCAAAAACCTTTCTCAAAGATTGGAAACCTTTCCCAAAAAATGTTTAACCTTTGTTTAAAGATTAAAAACCTATCATTAAAAATCTATTAACGTTCGTCCATATATTTTGTNGAATGGGACCTGAGCTCAGGTTTAGAATGGGACCTGAGCTCAGGTTTAGAATGAGACCTGAGCACAGGTTTAGAATGGGACCTGAGCTCAGGTTTAGAATGGGACCTGAGCTCAGGTTCAGAATGGGACCTGAGCTCAGGTTTAGAATGGGACATGAGCTCAGGTTTAGAATGGGACCTGAGCTCAGGTTTAGAATGGGACCTGAGCTTAGGTTTAGAATGAGACCTGAGCACAGGTTTAGAATGGGACCTGAGCTCAGGTTTAGAATGGGACCTGAGCTTAGATAGGATGAAACCTGAGCTCAGGCTAAGGACGAGACCTAAGACCAGGTTTAGGACGGAATTTCATTCATAAGATAACATCATCTTCACTGGGTCATACTTATAAATTATGTATAGAGATTAAATGGTAAACTAAAATATGCCAATTCCAACGCAAAATTCTATTAGGCATTTGATAATTACTCAAGCTATAAACTAGCGCTTTGCAGCTTTTAAAATCATTATATCAAGGATTACAAAAAAATCATAAGTTGGCATAAACAAATCAATCTCTTGGGTCCAAGAGGGGGTGCAAGGGGGGGGGTAAGGCTTCCATTGCCCCTAACAAACCCTCTATTATAGTTGTAGCTATGACAAATTTATGGATCTACGATAATCTATCCATGGACATATCTCATTCCATAATTTTCCTTCTCAAAATGCTATTTTCGTTAACCTGACTTTAAAAATAAATTTTAACATATTAGTGTTGTTATTTGTGTACTTTCATGTAAACAAACCTTTCGTACTGCATGCATACTCTATGTGTACGGCACTTTAATAATTTCTAGTCATCAGTTGAATCCTGACAGATCAGATCTCAACAATGATCAAGGTAATAATTTAGTTGTCAACATTTTCTACTTTTTTCCACCGTTTGTATATATACTGGATCATAAAGAACACACTATGCAATGCTTGCAACAACATAGGAACCCCTTGACCGATTTCGATATGGATTTTTCACAATCCTTATATCTCTGAAACCCGATCTCGTAGACCTTTGGTATTCCTAACTTTAAATTCTGTCAGATAAAATACTTTAAGTATGAAATATCAAAAGTTTACAAAAACAGGTTTCAAAGTTAAAGGTATTAGCAAATTTGAGTTTGTGGCAAACACTCCAAACACCACGGAAATGTCTTCGATTGGGTCAAACATTTTAAGTTGATCGGGTGGATTTTTAAAGAGTTTAATTTCCAGGCAAAGCTATGTTTCTAAGCTAGTTTTTGGTAAATCGTTATACGTCGTTAAATCGTCATATGTCGTTAAATCGTTATATGTCGTTAAATCGTTGTACGTCGTTAAATCGTTAAATTTCGTTAAATCGTATTATGCCGTTAAATCATTATATGTCGTTAAATCGTTATATGTCGTTAAATCGTTATATGTCGTTAAATCGTTATACGTCGTTAAATCTTTATATGTCGTTGAATCGTTATATGTCGTTGAATCGTTATGTGTCGTTGAATCGTTATATGTCGTTAAATCGTTATATGTCGTTAAATCGTTATATGTCGTTAAATCGTTATATGTCGTTAAATCGTTATATGTCGTTAAATCGTTATATGCCGTTAAAGAAAAAGTGCTGTACAGTTTAACTAGAATATAAACCAGGCTTTTAGGGTTCCTGAATTTATTTGTTCACCATGGGACCAAATTTAATGAACACCAAGATGAGTTGAATTGGATAGACTAAGTTGAACCACTTCTTTTTATGAAGTTTAAGAAGTGGTTCGACAATTAGTCTACTTATAACTACTCTAGCTGTTAATTAAAATTTTTATTTATCTATAAAATTGTTGTTTAGTGTATTGTGTTGATGTTGTGTACTGCCCTGGTGTACGGTGGAGTACCGTCTTGTCAAACCGTCTGGGAGGAAAAATGTTTGGATGAACCTCGTCAACAATGCACCTCTGTTCAGAAACCGTTCACAACAACAACAAGTGAACAACAATGCAGTACGGTATTAGAAAAGCAGTGCAATACTGTGTACGACACTAAGGTTGACCAGGTACCTAGAGAAGTATGCAACACCGTGAGTATGCAGGAGTGTAATCTGGTACCCCGGGAGGAGTGTAAGAGTATCCAGGTTCCTCAGATCAAATCAGTCCCAGAGCAGAAGTGCAAGTCTGTTCCTGAAGAGAAGTGCTCTACTGTCCAAGAGCAGGAATGCAAGAATATCGTTGAACAGGATTGTGCTACCAAGTATGATCAGGAGTGCTGGACTGAATACTCGGAGAAGTGTGACACCGTCCAGGAGCAGGTTTGTGACACTGTAACAGAAACCCAGGTAGAATTTGTAACCCGGCAGAAGTGTGCTCTGGTTTCTGTACAAGAATGCCATGATGCTCCTGAGCAAGTGTGTCAGCAGGTTCAGAAACCTGTCACTAAAACCAAGCAGGTTGAAGAGTGCTCCACAGTATATGATCAGCAGTGTAGTACTAAACAGGAAGAGTCCTGCTCTACTGTTACCGACCAGCAATGTAAAACTGTATCTGACCGCCAGTGCTCTACGGTGACTGACCGCCAGTGTTCTACTGAGTATAAGAAGGAATGTAGAACTACAACGGTCCAGGAGTGCACCAGTGTCAAGGGAGTACAGAAGTGCTGGGATGAACCAAGAGAGGTTTGCGACCAGGTTCCAAGGTTAGTAGATTTTCAGGACTTAAGCACTAGTAAAAATGTTTGATTTTCATATAAATAAAGGAGGATAATTTTTCATATTTTACGGATAAAAGGTTTAAGGGAAACCATTGGGAATCAGGTATGACACTCTTAAGATAAAGAGTTCTGTTCAAGTTTACTCATGTATTTCTGTATTTAGTGAGAAATGTTGGGATGAGCCCCGTCAAGAATGCCGTGAAGTCCCAAGACAGGAGTGCAAAGATGTTCAAAGACAAAACTGCGTTCAGGTACTTTTTCATTATTTAATATTTCTCGAAAGATGTTTTAACGTTGTTCTCCAGGTTCCCCGTGAGGAGTGTAACCAGGTTCCTCGGCAGGAGTGTAGACAAGTACCAAGATCCTACACTACTACAGAGAGTGTTGAGGAGTGTAGTACAGTTACTCGTCCTGTGTGTCGTCCAGTACCTAGAAACCAGTGTAAGGACGAACAACAACAGGTGTCAACTCTCGTCCCAAAACAAAAGTGCTACTCTAAACCCAAGCAGGTATTTGATGAAACTTTAGAAAAATTAATAAATAAAGCTAATTTAAAAAAATGTTTTTCTAGGTTTGTCAGCAAGTTCCAAACCAAGTTTGTATACAGGTTCAAAGACAAGAATGCAATCCGATTAACAGGTTAGTTTGTTTATTTAATCCACATTTTTATTTTTGATTTATTCTGGAACATATATTCGTTCAGACAAAAGTGTCAGTTGGTTCCAAGACAAAAGTGTCACACAGAAACTAGACAAGCGTGTACTACTGAGTACAAGGATGTGACTAGCTATGTATCGGAGCAGTCCTGCAGTACAGTACAAGATAAGGTCTGTAACTCTGTGCCCAAGCAGGTCTGCAGTACAATCACTGATTCTGTTTCTAAACAGGTAAAGAAACTTATTTTATTAATCTTTGCAACCTGAGGGTAGAACTTTTTTTCAGCGGCTGATCTCTATATCTAGTGGAAAACCTTTCAATTGAGGTCTAACTAAGCTTGATATAACAGATTTAAGACTCAAAAGTTTTACTCTCTCATAGGTTCAACCTTTGTTATTTCAAACTTAAATATTCGATCAAAAAAATAACAGATCTAAGACTCAAAAGTGTTCCTCTCGGATAGATTAAACCTTTGATATTTCAAACTTTATTATTCGATCAAAATTTGTGCATTATTATTCTGTGGAATCAAAATGGAAATTTTAAATGGTTTCTCCAGGTACCCCGGGAGGAGTGTAAGAACGTATCCCGTCAAGATTGTCGAGATGTTCCAAGGCAGAGAACTGATTATAGAACTGAACAAGAATGTAGGACTGTATCTGAGAGACAGTGTAGTAAGGTTTCCCGTCAACAGTGCAACTACCATTCTTCATGATCTTACCAAATCTTGATGAATTATATATTTGTGTCGTGCACAAACAAATTGATATAATCCATGTTTTATTTTTATTCCGATCTTGTGATAATTTTATCTTCAATAAAATGACTTTATAACTATTCTCATTTAAGTTAATTGATAGCGATTTTGTGTGGCAACTTTCAGAGTAACAGCTTAAAGCTGAAAGTATGTAGAATAAAAAATTTAAATCTGTTGAAGATGAAAGCTTTTTTTCTAATTCTTCCGACACCATTTTGAAAATCTTACTGTTGATATCCCGAGTACTAGTATATATCCATGTTTAGAACTGTTGATATCCCGAGTAATATCATATATCTATGTTTAGAATTGTTGATATCCCGAGTACTATTATATCCAGGTTTAGAACTGTTGATATCCCGAGTAATATTATATATCCAGGTTTAGAACTGTTGATATCCCGAGTACTATTATATCTCCAGGTTTTGAACTGTTGATATCCCGAGTACTATTATGTCTCCAGGTTTAGAACTGTTTATATCCCGAGTACTGTTATATATCCAGGTTTAGAACTGTTGATATCCCGAGTACTATTATATCCAGGTTTAGAACTCTTGATATCCCGAGTACTATTATATATCCATGTTTAGAATTGTTGATATCCCGAGTACTATTGTATCCAGGTTTAGAACTGTTGATATCCCGAGTACTATTGTATCCAGGTTTAGAACTGTTGATATCCCGAGTACTATTATATCCAGGTTTAGAACTGCTGATATCCCGAGTACTATTATATCCAGGTTTAGAACTGCTGATATCCCGAGTACTATTATATATCCATGTTTAGAATTGTTGATATCCCGTGTACTATTGTATCCAGGTCTAGAACTGCTGATATCCCGAGTACTATTGTATCCAGGTTTAGAACTGTTGATATCCAGAGTACTATTATATCCAGGTTTAGAACTGCTGATATCCGAGTACTATTATATCTAGGCTTAGAACTGCTGATATCCGAGTACTATTATCTCTAGGTTTAGAACTGTTGATATCAATAGTGTCAAAGATTTTCAGCTGTACCCTGCTAATTTTATCTAAAATTATAACTTTCGAACCATGGCACTGTTTGAAAACGCAAATACCATAACTTTACTTTACTCTTTAACTGATTTTTTGGATGATGGGAACAATATGATCCTTATATATATACTTTAGGTAATTTAGGTTTATGTCTTTAGATTCCGAATATTATCATTTCGAGAAGAGCTAGTTAGAACTTCCTGAAGAATACTACTGTTATTGGTGACAGTAAGGATTGATTTATTGCAAGAGTAGAGAGTTGAGAGTATTGAGCATATTATTCTCAAACTATGTAAAATATAGAAATTTCGCACATTTCGTCCAGATATGGAGATACCTAGAGATAAGGAGGGAAGGGGGAGTGAGAAGATCGGGAATTTATTGCACAAAGGATTGGAAGAAAGGGTCCAAAAGAAAGTGGGTAGGTGGCAAAATGAAAATCAGGTGAGTTAATGGAATTGTCGTTGTGACTTCAAGAGACTTTTAATTTAAAGAAGGGTATGCTCGATTCACAATGGTACCCTTTAAAACTTTATCTGATCAATAATAATGTCTCTTTCTAACTTACAGTGTTTAACTTCAACAATTTATTCCAATGTTTCTTCAGTAATAACCCAAAAGTCACTTTTAGGAGAAACCCTAATTTAGAATAATCACTTTAACAAAAGAAAATTATAGATATCTCATACATTCTTGAGGGTACCGTTGTGAATCAGACATGCATCTCTGAAAATGGAGTCACTTGAAATTATTGAAATTATTGAAAATTAGAGTAGAAGAGGAGTGGACTTTTAAGCAAAAGAAACGGACCAGTAAAAAGTTATCAGGGGAGCGAAGACAAATTAGAAAAATTACAGTCTAGGATTGGCCAGGATTAATTACAGTCTAGGATTGGCAGCAAAGTTTACAATGAGCGAAGAAACATAAACTAGAGGAATGATGCGTATCAATGGCATCTCAGAACTGATACGTCTTCAAGAAATATTGGTCAAATAGTTTCCAGCAACACCCTTTCCCGTCCTCTCTTATTCAATTTAAAATCTCCCCCCAACCCCCTCCTGTAATGTTCCTGTCTGCAATATTTCCAGTTAATGTTCCTTTACAGATAAGGTGAGAAAGATCAAACCTAGTATCCGTCCCTGCTCAGGGAACCCTTTTCCAACCTTTGGGAAAATACAGACCTGGAGCAGGGTCATCTTACACAGAACCTTATCTGTAATGAAAAAGATAGCGGAGGAAAATAATTCAAATGAAGACATCGTTTGATCAACGTTGAGAGGAGCCGGGATCTTGTTTCTCATGAAATCTAAGATTTAAAGTCTGAGATATATCTTATTTTGACATGCGAGCATAATATCAACTGTAATAGGTTGGGAATATGATATCTTTATGTTGAAACGACATGATTTCTTGAAACAGTGGTCTTATTCAGCTTAATAAGCATAGAACTGTGTAAGGACATTACAGAGGGTCCCAATAAGCATTCCAATTACGTGATATCTTAGAACTTTTCAGTGTCACAATTTGTGTATTTTTCAATTTATAGAGATGTTATGTGTACTTGCTATTTGTTCAATTTTAAAATCTTAGTGAAATATGAAAAATGAAAGACCTAGAAGATGTTTTCCTTGTTTATTAGGTTTATTTTCTACTATTTAGTACCGTGTGGTCAATTTTTTTAACACTGAAGTTTCTTATTAAATCTTTTTATCAAAGTATTAAAATATTCCTCATGACCCTTCTCCTCAATGTCCAGTGTTGTATCGTAGACGAGTTGAAGAAAATTGTTGGAGAAGGTTTAAATTCCAGAGTTTACAACCATACTAAGTATCCAGGGTATCCAGGTTCCCTGATCAGCACCTATTCTAAGTCACACACAGAGAGAAATCCTTTTAAGATCTTAAGTAGAACTGAAAACGAAGGTATTTAGGCCAAAACCTTACTTTACACTCAGTTGGACAACTCTTTAACAATGAAACTATTTCATTTTAGATATTTCTTTTTTTAACAAGAATGCTCCTAACTAGAGTGGACTCCTTCACTCTGGTGAATCTATCTATCTATCTACGTACTTCTATTTGACGATGCGCTCTTAATCAAAAATTAGTTTTCTTATATTCTCGTAATCTACTATTACTAACTTTCTTTGCACCCTAGTATCATGCCAACTTTACCCCTAGTATCCTTCTCCTCTGCACCCTAGTATCCTACTCCTCTGCACCCTAGTATCCTCCCTAATATCCTTCTCCTCTGCACCCTAGTATCCTTCTCCTCTGCACCCTGCACCCTAGTATCATGTCAACTTTACCCTAGTATCCTTCTCCTCTGCACCCTAATATCCTTCTCCTCTGCACCCTAGTATCATGTCAACTTTACCCTAGTATCCTTCTCCTCTGCATCCTAGTATCCTTCTCCTCTGCACCCTAGTATCATGTCAACTTTACCCTAGTATCCTTCTCCTCTGCATCCTAGTATCCTTCTCCTCTGCACCCTAGTATCCTGTCAACTTTACCCTAGTATCCTACTCCTCTGCACCCTAGTATCCTTCTCCTCTGCACCCTAGTATCCTACTCCTCTGCACCCTAGTATCCTGTCAACTTTACCCTAGTATCCTCCTCCTCTGCATCCTAGTATCCTGCTCCTCTGCACCCTAGTATCTTACTCCCCTGCACCTTAGTATCCTACTCCTCTGCACCCTAGTACCCTACTCCTCTGCATTCTAGTATCCTACTCCTCTGCACCTTAGTATCCTGCTCCTCTGCACCCTAGTATCCTTCTCCTCTGCACCCTAGTATCATGCCAACTTAACCCTAGTATCCTTCTCCTCTGAACCCTAGTATCCGACTCCTCTGCACCCTAGTATCCTTCTCCTCTGAACCCTAGTATCCGACTCCTCTGCACCCTAGTATCCTACTCCTCTGGGCCCTAGTATCCTACTCCTCTGCACCCTAGAATCCTGATCCTCTGAACCTTAGAATCCTACTCCTCTGCACCCTAGAATCCTGATCCTCTGCACCCTAGAATCCTGATCCTCTGAACCCTAGTATCCTACTCCTCTGCACCCTAGAATCCTGATCCTCTGAACCCTAGAATCCTACTCCTCTGCACCCTAGAATCTTGATCCTCTGAACCCTAGTATCTTACTCCTCTGCACCCTAGAACAACAATCAATAACTACGCTTTCTATTGGCTGCCAATGTACTCTGTATTTTCCAATATGTACTTGGCTTGTACGGACACTGTAAACTGTAAAGGTACTGTATAGTGTATATTGTGTAGAATATATAAAGCTGGATTGATGAAATATTATCCAACCTACAAGTGGATACAATTATCAGACTAATATCCCGAAATTTCGACTGGACTAGACAGAGTTGTATTTTAGCAGGACTAGGACTATCATTATCACACAGGCCACCTGATACTGGAAATATGTCAAAATTTAGACCAATAAATTAGAGCAATTAGCAATAATTGTGCGGCCAGACCTTGGGTCTAGATATAGCCGGGGCCCCAGGCTCCCTCAATATTGATTTTGACATTGATAGACTTGGATCAAACAAATCACAGGCAATCAAACCTGAACCTGAGAACTATCCCAGCTCAGGTACAGGACGGAGAACCTGAGAACTATCCCAGCTCAGGTACAGGACGGAGAACCTGAGAACTATCCCAGCTCAGGTACAGGACGGAGAACCTGGAGAACTTTCCCAGCTCAGGTACAGGACGGAGAACCTGGAGAAATATGGATTCATCTCGAACCAGGGACAGTTGAAATGATTTGTAGTTTTCATCTTTTACAGGAGTAACAGGAGAGATTATTGTTCTAATCAGTAGTGCTGTAAAAACTAAAAGGGATAATTATAAACCGGGAGGTGACAATTATGCATAAACCTACTTCATCATGAGATAAACCTACCGCCTACATTCCTTTCTTCGGACCAATATTCACAAATCTGGGAAATTTTGTGAAGCGTTTTTAAATTTGTTTTTGACAAACCCAAAAATGTCGGTTTGTAAATTTAGTGTGTTCAGTCAACCATCAGAAACAGTGTAGAGCAG